TGGCGAAGCGGCTAGCGCTTCTCGGAGGGCGGCTGGCGTCCGTAGGAGCGGCTAGCGCTCGACGGAAGGCGGTTGACGCCTGGTGAAGCGGCTGGCGCTTCCCGGTGGGCGACTGGCGCCGTAGGAGCGGCTAGCGCTCGGAGGAAGGCGGTTGACGCCGGGTGAAGCGGCTGGCGCTTCCCGGTGGGCGACTGGCGCCGTAGGAGCGGCTAGCGCTCGGAGGAAGGCGGTTGACGCCGGGTGAAGCGGCTGGCGCTTCCCGGTGGGCGACTGGCGCCGTAGGAGCGGCTAGCGCTCGGAGGTCTTCGCTGGCGACTGGCGCTCTTCTGCGTTGGGCGTCTTGCGCTCTTCTGCGTTGGGCGTCTTGCGCTCTCGTAGGATCCTTGGGCGACTGGCGCTCGGAGGCTCCCTTTTCGGCGACTAGCGCCGAAAATCTGATTAAAAATTCGCTGCGGGGGTCCTGCTTTTATCCTATGGTTGACCAAATCTTGATCGCAGGTTCGTCGCCCACACGCCTCGCCACCTATCGGTAGCGCCGCGAACTACCGTACTCCGCGGCGTGCAGGCGCGTGCCTTACGGCGCGGCGCCCTGTGGCTGCCGTAGGCCGCCACATATGACAATAGATGAAATGCTTTTCGCATTCAGGGGACGATGTGGATTTCGCGTTTACATTCCCAGCAAACCTGCCAAGTGCGGCATCAAAGTCCAAGTTCTTGTTGATGCAAAATCTTTTTACACAGTAAATTTGGAGGTATATGCAGGAAAACAACCTACAGGCCCGTATTCTGTAAGCAACAAGGCTTATGATGTTGTAGAAAGACTAGTCCAGCCCATATCGCGCACGAATCGCAATATAACTTTTGATAACTGGTTCACCAGTTACGAACTGATGATGCGTTTGCTGAATGAGCACAGGCTTACGTCGACTGGAACTGTGAGAAAAAACAAAAGATGTATTCCGGCCGCATTTTTGAAGACCGGAAAGGCTCCAGGAAGTTCCATGTTCGGTCATCAAAAGGATGTTTCTATGGTCTCCTATGCACCTAAAAAGAATAAAGTGGTCATAGTAATGTCAAGCCTACATCATGATGACAAAATTGATAGCGCTACAGGAAACCAGAAAAAGCCAGAGATGATAACATTCTACAATTCAACTAAAGCTGGAGTAGATGTTGTCGACGAACTGTGTGGTAGTTACAATGATTCGCGTAATAGCAAGCGCTGGCCTATGATCATTTATTATGGGATGTTGAATATAGCTGCTGTCAATGCAAACATTATTTTTCGTGAAAATCAGGGCAAAGACACCAAACGAACCGATTTCATCCGTAACTTAGGCTTGGCTTTAGTTTACGAACACCTGAAGTTGCGAAAAGACCAAAAAAATATTCCGATATACATACGTCAGAGAATCTCTTCCCAGATCAACGAACCACTTTCATCGACTCAAAATGTTCCTGGTCGTTATATTAGATGCGGAGATTGCCCATACAAAAAGGATCGGAACACAAAATACGCATGTGCAAACTGTGGAAAGGCTATCTGTATGGAGCATGCAACTTTTTTTTGCAAAAACTGCACTGATTTGAACTCCAGTTCCTAAGATGTTCCTAAAATTTTTTGTTATTTTTTTGCTTCCTCATAGAGGAAGCTTTGTTTTCGCGAAAAAATTTTTTTTCCAGTTTTCTTTAGCAATATGTTTAAAATATTTCAAAACGTAAAAAAAACATATTTTTACAAAATGTCTGTGTGTGTGTGTGTGTGCGTGTGTGTATGCGTGCGTGCGTGCGTGCGTGCGTGCGTGCGTGCGTGCGTGCGTGCGTGTGTGTGTACGCATTCGAATGTCCGTGGTTGCTCTAACTTCCGTAAATTTTGAGATATCGGGCTAATTTTTTTTTTAAACGTCGAGAATCACTAAAGGAAGGTTGGTATTGATTTTTGCGGCGATCGGTAAACGGGTTTCTTTTTGAACAAATATTGAATTTTTTGAAAAATGTCCGTGGTTGCTCTAACTTCCGTAAATTTTGAAATATCGGGCTTATTTTTTTTTAAATGTCGAGAATCACTAAAGGAAGGTTGGTATTGATTTTTGCGATGATCGGTAAATGGGTTTCTTTTTGAAAAAATCTTGAATTTTTGGTGAAATGTCTGTGGTTGCTCTAACTTTTGCAAATTTTGAGATATCGGGCTATTTCTAATTCTATTACTCTTTCCAGTCTTTTCTACCCCTATTTCATATATAATTTCTTAATATTCGGTTGATTAGTTCTTGAGTTATAGATGTTTGAAATTTCGCGGAATCCATACATGAACACTTTTTCATTATACTGGGTGTTTCAAAAGTGATGCTACAAAATGTAATGGTGAAATGTATACATTAGTATAAGCAAAAAGTCCTAATATTAATTTTTTTTAGAAATGTCTGGTTGGTGTAACTATCGCAAATTTTCTTTAATAATGATTTCCAAAAATTTCAAATGTCTATAACTCAAGAACTAATTAATCATATTTTAATGAATTATATATGAAATTTGGATTGAAAAAACTGAAGAACAATATAATATATAATTAGAACAAAAAGTAAAGTAAAGTAAAGTGTGCAAATTAGAAATTTGCACATGGCTTCCTCATAGAGGGAGGTTTAGGATCGAAATCTAATTTTTTCGATGTTTCTTGAAAGTGTGCAAATTAGAAATTTGCATATTGCTTCCTCATCATTGAAGCGTGCAAATTGGAAATTTGCACATTTCTTCCTCATCATTAAAGTAGGCAAATTAGAAATTGGCACATTGCTTCCATTGTTATGGCTTCCTCATAGAGGAAGCTTTAAGAGAGAAATCTAACTTTACTACGATGCTTCTTGAAAGTATTCAAATTATTCTTATTTGGCTCTTAAAGCTTCCTCTATGAGGAAGCCATAACAATGGAAGCAATGTGCAAATTTCTAATTAGAAAAAAAAGTAAAGTAAAGTGTGCAAATTAGAAATTTGCACATGGCTTCCTCATAGAGGAAGCTTTAAGAGCGAAATA